TGAGAAGAGGTTGTTTTCTGGTTGCTATGGCAGCACCGGGAAAGGAAGTCCCTTACACCAACCAAAGCAAGGCAGAGACGGCTGAGGGCAGTGCTGATGCACTGGGGGGAGGAGAGGTCAAAGGGACATCAGAGGGACCAGGCTCCGATTGCAAAGCTTAGTTGCAGGGGTGAGGGCCATGCTAAGGTATCTTGTCAATTCTAGCACTCATCTTGCATGGAGAGAGTATCTTCCCCCCAGATACATTTCTCCTGACATGTGAGCCTGTCACCGTCCACAGACCACAACAGACTTGGGGAACCGTCTAGGTCACCTAAGCCGCTGTGACGTTTTCCCTTGGCTGAACTCCAGCATCCTCTCAACTGGACATTAAACCTTATCATGGTTGCTGCTTTGCAGGGGTGAGTGGGGAGGAGAAGCCTGGGAATCTTCCCTTTTCTTTGCACACCTGGTTCTTACCTGTGCAACTCCATCCCTTGGCAGGGAGACTTTGAAACTGTGGGTGGGGGCATTTCAGTTGTCACAATGACGAGGCGTGGGGGGCACTTCTGGCCTTTAGCAAGCAGAAGCTCAGGACGCGAAAAGTTCGGTCGTGTGTGAGGCTGTCCGGCTGATTGAAGAGCTGTCCCACTGGGGCGCCAGTAGCACCCCTCTGAGAAGTACCACCATGGCCCAGGCTACTGGGTTCTCTTTGATGCTGATGCTGTGAGAAGCACAGGACGGGAAGTAAGAGGACCTGGGAACAAAAAGTCCACTTTGCTGGCGATCTAGGACCCTGCTTCAGTCTGGAAAAGCAAGCTGCCCCACCATTATCTGTCCACTGAACTATCCCAGCAATCTTGTGGGAGTGCCCCCTGCTGGCCTGGGTGAAGAAGTACTGCAGGCTGCTGGTCACTTAAAATTTTCCTTTTTTTCCCTCTTTCTTCTCTCCTTTCTTTCTTCTCTCCTTTCTTTCTTCTCTCCTTTCTTTCTTCTCTCCTTTCTTTCTTTCTTTCTTTCTTTCTTTCTTTCTTTCTTTCTTTCTTTCTTTCTTTCTTTCTTTCTTTCTCTCACCTCTCTTTCTTCTTTCTTTCTTCTTTCTTTCTTCTTTCTTTCTTTCTTTCTTTCTTTCTTTCTTTCTTTCTTTCTTTCTTTCTTTCTCTCTCCTTCTTTCCTTTCTTTCTCTTTATCTCTCTTTCTTCTTTTTTTCAAGAGAGATTTTTGCAATAGGGTGTGTGTACTCACCAGAGAGACAGAGAGACAGAAAGTGAGAATTTTCCCCCCTGGGGATGATATCCCCACCACAGTCCGTCTTCTCCATTCTCCTCTTAGGATTTTGGGCATGTATGCACATGCACCTGGCATGAATTTCAAGCCGCTAGGTCTGGGACTCGAACTGTGGTTGACTACATGGGAGTCTATAGAGCCTTAACTACTGTGGCACCTGCTGACTCCTTCTTTATTTATTTTTAAAAGTTTATTTTGAGGCCGGCAGGAGATGTGGCAGTTAAGGCACTGTACTGTCACATGGCTGACTCTGTGTTTCGAGTTCTGGATTCAAACACACCATTTGCTGGTCCCTCATTCCCTCTTCTTAAAAGCCCACCCGGTTTCAGTCATGGAGGCCCCACCCTGGTGAGCATAATCTCGTCTCAAAGACCCTATGTTTCAACACCATGGTTGGATAAACTTTTTTTACCCTCTTAACCACATCACAACCAAATCTCAACACACACATTTTTTTGGGGGGACCACACACATTTGTATCGTAGCAATGAGGTATTTAGAGTAGTCAGATTCACAGAAGTGTTAATATAATAGCATTGCCAGGGGCTGGTGGGGGTGGAAATTTAGGGCTTAACAGGTGTGGAGTTTCTGTTTGGGAAGATAAAGATGTTCTGGAAGTGGATTCTTAAGAATGCCAGTGTACTTAATGTTTGTCAGCTATAAACTTACAAAGAGCTAAAACGATACATGAATGTTATGTTTATTTTACAAGTTAAGAATGTTTTTCACATGTATTGAAAACAAACAAACAAAGAACCAACCAACCTGAATTTATGGGTTTATAATCTGAAAGCCGACTGGCCAGTATTATCCAGGAGTGCCCTTATCTCAAAAGGTGGGCAAAATCCTACAAAACCGGCATTCCAAATAGTTTATGGGGGGTCTTAGGCTACAGTTGCTCCCTCCCTTCCCTTTCTCTACCCCTTCAAAGTGCAAAAAGAACACTGGCAAAACTTCACTGAGAGATGACAATGTCTGAGACACCAAGGCTGGGTCCCAGCAGTACCTGAAGGCCTCTGTGACAGCTGTTAATGGGGGTTGAGGTGAGCAGGTGCACCAGGAAAAGAGGTGAATGTAGAGGCAGGGGGAAGGATGCTGGTGAGCACTGCGGGAGGCCATGGAAATGACGGGCCTTAGAGGTGGGCTTTACGTGACACTAGTTTGCTGGGGAGATGCCAGAAGATGGCAAGGAGGAAAGAGGAAAGAGGATATTGCAGGAGGCCTGGACAGGAAAGTCTGAGGTCTCTGGGGAAGGGGTGATCTCTCTGGTATGGCCAAAGTTGCAGACCATGTGCACAGAGACGAGACTAGAGGCACAGGTCAGCTGGCTAGGCACGAAGGCTGCACGTATGCTGCTGAGGTATTTTGGATTTTATCCTTTAGGTAGGTTTTCTATAACAGGGAGTTGATGGGATTCTACTTGGGGCCTTTTCTCCTTCTTTCCTTTTCTTTCTCTTTCTTCCTTTCCTTCTTTCTTTTTCTTTCTCTCTCTCTTTTTTCTTCTTCCTTTCTCTCTTTTTCTTCTTCTTTTTTCTCTTCCTTTCTTCATCCTTTCAAGTTATTTGTTTATTTCTTGAGAGAGAGAGAGAGAGAGAGATGAAGAGCAACTCCAAACAGGGTCCTCATGACCACAGTCCACCCCGTGCTCAGCCAGGATCACTATCCTGGGCATATGCACCGTGTTCAGGGAGGTCCCAGGATGTGAACCCAGGACTTTGCCCTATGAGTCCAGCAATGTTACTGCTACCCCACCACCTGGCCCCCCACATGGGCTTTTAGAAAGGTAACTTTGAGAAGCTAAAAGGCTGCACGGAAAGAAGGACACTTTATCTCACAAACCTCTGGATAAACTTCTAGAACTTGCAGCCTACGCCAATCTTTCCTCTGATCTGAATGAATTTGTCCAATAGATCAGGAGTAATCACTTGCTATGTGGCCTTTGAGTGAGATGTAGAACAGAAACTCCATATCAGCTCAATGAAATATAAATCTTACTGTTTTTAAAGTGCCATTGCCAGAGAGAGAGCGTAAGAGGAACTGGATAGAGAGAACAGGACCCAGATGAGAGCCCTGATCGTTCACTGAGGGGTTACTCTTTCTCCGA